ACATATACTGTGACATACAGACACCAGTAGTTCTGGAATGGGATATCTATAGCATTACAACAAAATACGGTGGCATTTCTCTATTTTTATATTATCTAGCTACGTGATGTGAATTAATGGGTATCTCTGAGGGGGGGGGGGGGGGTCGGAAATAGTGACGTATTACCTTTATTAAAGCAAGCTCTACCTCTAGGTCAGAGTTCTTAGTTCAAATTAATACCTGTTTGAGGTTTCTTGTGTTTTCAGTAGGTTAATTTTCCTAGTCTTGTTCTCTCAAACTAGGAGCCATGTCACAGCTATTTAATAAATATGCCAATGTGTCAAAGTCATTTTTCAGAGAGGAGTCAAAATGGAAATTAAGTCAGTGGGGTTACCTCAGCAGTGAATTTGTCTCAAGGCAATAGTAGGGAAATATTTCCAGAAGTGGACCCTTACCTGCAATGATTTTGGTCCTGTTAAATCTGCTAGAAGAATAGTTTGCTCTACTGTTTTGCTCAGAAGGCAGAATCTTTCTTAGGACAACTATCATTTTGATCCTATGAAGGAAAAAGTTTCCTGAATTAAGTAATGGAGGCATGTAGTAAGGTACTAATGAAACTTTATCATGCAAAGGAAAAGATGTTAAGTCTGCATTGTTGTAATGTTGACTAAGCAAACCTTATCATCTTACAGTCAAAGACTTAGTGTATGGTAATAGACAAATCATGCTGTCAGTATAAAAGTGATGGAAGTCTTATCTTACAAAAATAACTTTTAAATGTATAGTGTCAGAAAAATACTGTCCCAAACACCTACAAGACAGTCCCTTTCCTGTGATGCTGTCCCCAAAGTATGGCTCTATAATGTATGTCTTCCTTCCTTTATGAGTGAAATTGAACAAACAAATAGAATTTCTTTTTTTCTTGTCAAGCTAGTGGTTATGTTTAATCATATTATGTAAATCCTCTTTAAAAGCATCGAATCAGTTTTCGGTCTTATATTGTGTAATGTTACTCAAATTTAAAAAATCAATTTATTTGTAGATCAAAGCAATTTTGCATGAACCCTAATGAAAGTTAACAATGTGATTTATTTTTAATGTCATTCTCACACACATCTTCCTCTCTTCCCAGAACCCTCATCAGTTCTCAGTTCTTCAGCTCAGGGAGGCTTCTTGAGCTGCCAGTTGAATTCCCCAGCCTTTCTACTATTGGTACTAGATGAAACTTTGCTGACATTACAAGACTACTTTCCATTACACATTTCAGTCTGCTTTCAGAAGAGGTTCTTAACATCAAAAAAAAATTCTAAATGCAAACCCTCTACAGATTGTAGCATACAGTAATGCAAAAGTCAAGGATTGCATGTGTTCTCAGCTGCGTTGGACTGATGTAGCAGTAGCTGTGCTTTCATTGGCATTATTCGACATTTACACCGCTCTAAACTAGAGCAGGGTTTCTTCTATAGCTAATGCTAGAAAAGATGACTATTCTTTCCTTCATGTCTATTCTAAAGCAGCATGAGATAAGAGAAGTTAACTGATAACTGATTTTTTTTCTGTGAATGTAGTACAGTAATTTATTTACTAACTGTATGTATAGTTTTTAGAAAACATATTTAGAATGCAAGCAAGTTACTGTGGAATGTTTTCTGCAGTATGAAGAGCAATCCTTAACTTTTAATTTTCATGACTTAACTCTATATAAAAGCAAATTTACAGTTTTTTCAATGTAAGTTCATATGTTTTGAATTAAATTAAATTAATGACATTTTTTATGGCTAAGGCAGGGGTTTTTCTCATGGCAAATATATTTTCAAATAGCTAACAAAATGTGTTAACAGTTACACTCGCTAATAGATTTGAAGACCATGTAAACAGTGGCTTAGATCAACTCCATAGCCCAGCCACTCCCCTCTTTTTCCAGAAGAGGTGAACCTGGTGAACCTCCAGGAGGACAGCCGGAGCCATGGTGCCTGTCTGTGCGGTCAGCTGCTTGACCTGCCTAGGTGGGCGGCTTTGCTGGAGGTGGCGGCTCTGGCCTTCGCTGCACCTGGGGGACCAGGCAGGGAGGAGCAAGGCTGTCATCCCCACAGGCAGCACCTGGCAGGATGAGGGGCCTGGCATTGTCATTACAGGTTCTGACAGGGGGGTCTCCCCGTCAGCCACAGCTGCAAGACACTAACTAGATTTTAGGTCTACAAAATGTCCACTGTGAGGCTTCTGGCACTTTCTATCCAAAGGCTAAATTTGATGGGGAAAAAAAACCAAACAAAACAAAACACTCAGAATATATTTTAGCGTAAATACGCAACTGATTAAGAATTGAATAGTATTATTGAGCTGGAATTACTACAGCTGCTCAGAATAAGGTCCCACTGTTACATATTATCTATAAAACGCCAGGTTTACTGTTTTGAAGTATCTAATATTGATTTGATCTTCTCATGCCTAACTTACGGGTGTGCACAGCAGAAATGTTAGAACTGTTGAACATTAACATGTCCAGAATTCTTGTACTGTGGTTGATAGTGTTTATTTAGTTTTCCTACTGAGCTTTTCCTGATAGCTCCAAAGCCTTTATTTATTGTAAGAGGCATCTTGTGTGTCTAGACGTGTACTGGTATGAACATTATTGCTTGGAATACTAGGCCAGTTCCAGGAAAGAAATCTGCTTGGGGCAGCCATCCAGATTTCCTTATACCCAATGCTAAGGGACACAGTCTTGGCTGCTCATGGAATGATCACTGTCATCTGGTTCCACCGGAGGACTGAGATGGTGAGACACTCCTTTGCACTTTAAGTGCGATACGAAAGGAAAAAGGAACATTGTTCTGTTCTGGATGTGTGTACAGAGTAAAGCAGAAAGTCTCACTGATCTGATTTATCTACTTGTATTTACCCTTGACCAGTGACAGACGTTGCATTAGAAGAGTAAAAGCTACAGCAAATTGTGGTTTATTTTATTTTTTTGATACACAAGCTTAATTTGCTGTATGCTGCAGACTGAAGTAATCTTTGTAAGTGATAAGCAACTATTAATGTGTTCATGTTACATAGAACAAACAGGTGCAGATGTAAATAGCATTTCAGGCTGTTTTTGAACAGTGTTTCATATATGTGTAGGGGAAAAAAAGATTTTCAGTTTGCTCAAACCATTTCTGAAAGAGAGTGGTATTAATGTCTGTACTAGATCTGATATTAATAATACTGCTGAAAAGCTAATAATGTAAATGACCAATTAAATCTTAAGTGCAAAGAAATAAAAAAGTTTGAGGATGAGATTTGTACTTGTATTGCAACACACTGGTAAGATTCAAATCCTACTGCACACTTTTTGTTGGTAGTGTTACGCTTTTTATAATCAGGAATGTTTTTACGTGATACAGATTGAGAAGTTTCTAATACATCACATTATGACAAAATCTATTTGATAACCTTTAAGTTTAACATTTCAGTATAGAGATTTTAGTTTTTATCTGCATTATGAATATTCTGTTCCAAATGACTGACTGTATTTCTACCACAGCAGGCAAAACCGTGAGAAATGAAAATAGTTTAACATCTGATAGTTTAAAAATGTGATTTTCCTCTTACCTCTGCTTTCAAATATGGACACACACAACTGAATTTATGAATTCAGAAATAAGATTTTTTATAAGTACTCATAGATACTAATTGATCAGAACTTTTTTAAGTCATCAAAAAAATCTGATTAAATTATCATATTATATAATCAAAACTGATTATTTCATTCATAAAATGTGATGTAGATTAGATTACTAATTACATTTCTTTTTCCCAATTTTCCTGTCCTTTTCATCCTGCATGATACACTCATGGTGATTGCTGTATGCAAATTCCTAGCACAGCTGCAGTGAAGGTGATTCAGAGTTGTTTCACTGACCTCAGCAACAACTTCATCAAGCCCTCACCCTCTCTGATCTTGTCTTCATCGCATTGAAGGACTGAGCAGCCGTTTTACCATAATAGTGACCCTCTAGAATGGTGTGAAGCTTCTCATATATCTGTGCTGGTGCTAATCCTGCCCTACATTTATATATATTTACATTTACATTTATACTATATATATCTCTATATACTCAGAAGCTGCACTTAATGTTATTTTCACAAGCACTACATGACTTGCAGGCACAATTTTGCAAAAAAGCCTTTGTTCATTTAAATGTGAAAAAAATTATAATAATCATAGAATCGTTTAGGTTGGAAAAGACCTTTAGGATCATCTGGTCAAGTCCAACTGTAATCAACAGAATTTCTTTTTCATATCTTCAGTTCAATGTGACCATTGTAAAAATTCATTGCACCTTTATTTTTAGGAGATTTTAAGTTCTGGAGGTTAGTGTTACATAAAGTAACTCCTTACTAAAGATCAGACAGGAATAGATGTCGGAAGGGCTCTCTTTCTGGTTAGTACCATGCATACAACTAAGGATGTGTGGAAAAGATGGTGTCCTCTCTGAGTAATAAAGTCTAAGAAAAACTAATAAACCCAGTTAAATCACTGCATGTAGTACAGAATTAATCTTGTACAGTGAAACTGGTCCTTCAGAGAAGATTTTTTCACAACTAAGAACATCATTGGCTTTGCATTCCCTGTAGTGTTTTTAACAACTGATGCATGTTTTATTTATAGTAACAAGTTATAAGTTGCGTGGTGGGAGACGAGGACTTACAAGTTCTGTAAGTTGTGGTATTCAGGTTATCTTTATACATATATTTGGCCTTTACTATCATCATTTCATTCTCCTAAGGGCATGATGTAGCCATATCCAAAGTCTACAACTGATTTAGTATGGAAATATTAACAGAGTCCCTAATGTGTGAAATGCTTGAACATGCAATCATATAAATGTGGCTTGCCCCAAAAGAGTATCAGTCACCGATTACATGCAATGATGCAAATGGTGCTAATAGTCTTGCGTGTTTTCCCTGTACTTCTTCTCCGTCACCCTTTATTGCTGTATCTTCTGAATTCTCCCTTCGTTTTCTTTCAACAAAGGCAAGTATGCCATGAGGGATCTGGTCCACCGACTGCCAGGCGCTAACAACAGCATCAGCTCAGCAAGCAAGGCCATGTCTGATGACACCGTTACTGCCATTTGCTGCACTCTGCATGAAGTCATCACTAAAAACATGGAGAATGCCAAGGCCTTACGAGACGCAGGCGGCATTGAGAAACTGGTTGGCATATCTAAGAGTAAAGGAGACAAGTATGTTTTGCAAATCACCTTGCACTTTTTTAACATCTCCAGTAGTTATTACTAGTCCTGAATGTGTTTGCCTCTTCTGTGCAATCGTGAGTTGAATTCTTTAGTTTCATCAGAAATCATGTGCCCAGTGTGAAAGGTGGAAAGAAACAGACAATACCAATAGCAAAAGTCTCTGCTGTGGTTTATTTTTGACGTACCCTCAGCAGTGCATGGAGTGCCCTGCATGTACAGTTTAAGGAAGAGTAATTATCTGCAGTAACCGCTACCTCCAAGCAATTCCAGAAGATCCTGATAAACATTAGGGACCATAGCTGTTGGATTGCACCCTGCAGAAGGGGTAACATGCAGGTGGAGGGATCCTGTGAAAGGAAGGGACCTCACTGCAGTTCTGTTACTGCTCCTCTTACTCTGGGAGTGAAGAACATAAAGTCACTGTCCCTCTTCACAGCACACTTTTCCCTGCCACCAGCTTGCTGGTAAGGTGGGGCATAGTAGAAAAATGGATCCATGGATTTTCTAACACCTTGCTTCTGAGAGAGCAATAGGATACCTGCAGGCTACTTTGTGAGGCACCAAAACATGCAAAAGTCTTACACAGGACTGTGACATTTTCAGAGCAGCTGTGGTTTCATCTTGTCTGTTTTCCTGTGTATGCACTCTTCATGAAGAGTTCAGTCTTTATCCTTCTTTTACCTGAAACAGATAGCCTGGTTCTCATATTTGTCAACCTGCAGAAGTGTAGTGCAATGGGACTACGGCAGTTTGAAAACAAAAAGCCTTCACTGTAGTGTACAAAACCCATCAGTCCACCTATTCAAAGCTGTCATCACACAGCCTACCGCAGTATCAGAGCTCTAAAAGAGCCCCACAAAGCCAGGGCACAACCTGAAGGAAAGATTTATGCACGTTATATTTGGTATGAGAACTTATGCTCGCCTATGTGATCGGAGCATTGCTAATACAATTTAATCACATTTCTTTTCCTCTATTGTCACCCTTTCTTTTCATACCAAATTCATTATCGAAACATTCTCACGTTCTAATTATAATGGGTAAAAAGTAGTAGAGTAACAAAGTATATGATTCCAGTTGTGGGAGCTCCCCATGCTCTGCCAATTTATTTACATTTGCATTTTTATTATTATTAAATCTATTTCAAATTTTGATTTATATTTTCTAGATCAAATGTACTGATATTGCAAGCAGGTTCATATCCATCTCTCTTAAGTTGAATGTGTCTTTCCTCAGAATAATGCATTTGTCTACCTGTTCATTATATGGTGAGATTATTAATACCTGTTGAATCTGGAATTTTCAAAATGTCATGGGCAGTTTTAGGAGGATCCAAGGGTATAATTCGCTGTCTAAGTATCCCTCATAACTGTGAAAGACATATCTATGTTGAACAAAAGTATTTAGCCCAGGTAGTGTTGAGTAATTTGAAAATGCCCTCCCAAATCATGGTATGCATCCCTCCTCTCAAGTACTTTGAGTTGCAGTCCTGTGTTATTACTGTTACAGGTTCCACAGTTCTAGAACAAGAAAACCTGTCAACTCACAGTGCTACAAATGCCTATCTTAAGTGAAAGTTCCATTTTTCAGCTCTCAGAAATGTTAGCGTTGTGCACTATTGCTTTGGTTTGGTTTCTTATAAGTAATCCGTTGTTTAAAAATCAGAATTGCTGGTTGTTGGACTGATAGGAAGTTCTGGAAAGCTCACTTTAATACAGTAAAACACTTCAGTATGAATTTATCTTGTCCAGTATGAAGTGTCTGCAAGTGCAGGATACTAGCCTGGCCATGCATCCTGGCCCCACCAGCCTTTGGAACATGCCCAGG